ATTTCATTGAAAAATCAGCGACTATCATTAATTGATTCTTCTCAATGAGATTTCACTGTATGTAGTGCTATATTCATAACTGAAATCACTATTAGTGATAATACATTGATTCCATTTAAGAGATCGAATATATAGAATCTAACAATGACGTTTAGATATCTAATAGCTACGATAGAAATTAAATCGCATTAATAATCCAAGTCGATCTATAAAACAGTGAACATTTTTTTGCATAAAAAAGAACTGTTATATCTAAAAAAATTTTCAATTATGTCGTCAACAAATTAAAGAAATGTATCTAAGCAGAAATATATATACAACACTATGGATTATATATTTTCTATTATATTATATTGATCTAATCCCTCACCACATTGTTCATATTATTAAAAAATTCGCAATTTTATCGAACGCGGGAGCCTCCCGGAGTAATAATTTCGTCAGAGTACTTTACAGGCACATCAGCAGCTTCCATTTATCTGCGAAACGCGCGTGGCAGGACCAGCGAATGGCGAATGGTTTTACGTGTAGTAGAGAGAAGTCTCGTTCGGAATCAGGGCGAGTCGCCGGTGCACACTCATTGTCCCGAGCATGAACAATGAGTTACCGGCGCCTTTATCGTCGCGGCGCCGCAAGACGCTTCGTAACGAGATGGCGCGATGGGAATACGAGATTGTCGCGTGCGTTCTGTCCCCGCGTATTTGTGTGTGTGTGTGTGTGTGCGTGTGTGTGCGTGCGCGCGCGCGCGCGCGCCTACATACATATAAGCACGCCCGAACGACACATACCATCGTGTCCTTTCGTCGTAGTCAGCTTTTTGGCAGTCGCGCGATACCTCATATTCGCCTCGTCGCCCCTTTGTCGCGGGGAAAATCGTCGTAAGCTGAATGCTCGCGATAATAAAGGACCCGTATGTACGTATATACACGCGGTTAGACTCTATTGCTCCGCGTATCGTGCAATGCTCACGTGACAACACATTTACTATACGGCACACGCACGCGCGCGACATGACGCTTTTATAGGCGCCTCTACGCATTTTCTCACTGCGTTCACCGTGCGTTAAAGTATCACGCGCAAAAGAATTTTGCAATAAAACTGTCGCTGCGCTATTGCGTATCTAATGTGAAAGCAATCAAACTTCAATACTATGTATAATCAATTATTTGATATTACAACAAAACCTGTTTGGTCAAAAGATAAAAGTTGGTAAGTGAGTTTGTTCATAGAGACATCAATATTTGTTGCTAAAATAAATTTAATTTGCTGTTAAAACGAAATAATTCCTAACAATACATAGCAAATATATTTTGCTGTTGCAGTGAAACAATTTGTTATCGTGGCAAAATAATGTTTTTTGTAGATTTAATAACATTTTTTTAGCAAATAAAATTAATATCTTTTTATTATTTATATAATAACTAACGAAATTTGATAGGACAATGTAAAATGCATACATATTTTCTCTGTATATAAGTTACGATAAGCAGCAGTTACTTATTAATTGGTGGTAATTAAGAAATTTTTATAAAATCTTGGTTTCATGTTTTATTTCAATAGAGAAAATTAAAATTATATACATTTAAAACGATATATCATAAATTATTCCAATTTTTTTTAAAAGATTCATACTAAAATAAAACCAGTTTTTTGAGGTTGACCAAAGACCAAAGACTATAACTTAGTTATCTATTTATTACAATTATGAATTTTTCAAATTTTTCTCCTGCTCTAAGATTTACTCTATGTAGCCGAAATTTATATAGCTCTCAATATAACTCATGACGATTGATGCCATTGAAATTATTGATACTTAAGTTCGGTGAAAGCGTATCCACTTCCAAATCGTACAAATATCGCGCCATTAAAGGAACATATAACGTGTGCACGTGAGTTGCCGCAGTAACGATATCAAGGTGGCCGAGTTGGTCACGACGACGCTAAAAAAGGCTAAGGTCGATTGTCATCGCGCGGAATTCGCGACCGCGTGTATGACAACGCGCATTTTCCGCGATTATGTTCGCCGACCTCATACGCAACGGCGCCTTCGGCACGGCTTATTTCACCACCTTAACACCGTACTTTGTGCATCTGAACGAGCATACATTTTGATGTATCCGTAGAAAAGAGAATGAGCGCGCGAGGGCCGCATCCGACTGCTCTGGACAAACGCCAGGACTCGTCTAGGACGTGTCCGTACATCGAGCAGCTTGCTAATGCGCGGAGCCTCGAGCACGGTGCGCAAAATGAGCATATGCATATGCACCACGGTGCATGCCGCTAAAAAAAAATGCACCGCATTCACGCGACCGCTAATCGAGAGCCGGATCTCGCGGCGAAAGGTCTAATACAAGTGTGGTATACGTAAAAAAAGTTATGTAAAATTTGCCGAAGGTCAAACAATCGCGTTACTCAATAATTTACGTGCCGCGCGATGATAGATATACGTACATAATGAGAGGAAAAAATGATTATCGATAAATATATCCATCTTTAATGATAGGATGCAGTCCTCGCGGAGAGAATTGATCTCTCAGAATACTCTCAAAAGATGTAAGAGACATGTGATATACAAAGAATACGTGGAAATGTTCCCAGAAAAAAGATGTACATTGCTTGGTGGAAAAATGTATACGGAAAAAGTTTTCGCAAAATATCCACTGAAAAATAGTCAAATAGTCAAATGGAAAAATATTTTGTATCGCGTTTTTCTTATTTTAAATCACAACTTTTATAAATTATATTTAAAAATCAATGTAAATGTGTTTCTATACGTAAATCTAATTATTTTAGTATTAGATTTAGACTGAGCAATGAAATAATAGTAACAAGAGAATTTTATGCAAAGAGATAATTACTGTGAAACTTAGTATGACACGAAAATATTACGAGCGAATCCTTTTTCCAACATTATTATAATAAAAGATGAAGTAAAACTCACCGTAACGTTGCTCTGCGTAGATGATTCGGAATCCAGAAGACCTGTAAGTAAAACACAATCTATTAAAGTTATTATAAAATTTTATTCAATTACGCGTATATATGAAAAGGAAATATTGTATAACAACATTTTTTAATGTGGGTGAAATAAATAGTAGATTTTATCGTCATACTATTTTTCACGATCTCCTTATTATAATATTTGCGTATCTAATACAACTGATAAAAACTCAATATCAGTTTTAACTATTTTTTAACTATTTAGCAATCTATAAAAATACCGGCTACGTATTTTAAATATCAAACAGAATTAAAAATTAATTTTACGATCGTAAACGGATCGTAATCACTATAACGCGATAAAAAACGGATAATAATAATGCAAGAATACTGCATAATTAATTATGCTCACCATCGTTTGCATCGGTATTGTCCCTCCAACTGCTGCTCCGGTCCAGGCATTCCTCGTGCATTGATACGAATCGATCGGAAAAACGCGACTAATTACTGACGCGCATATCAATTAACGCAATGCAATCCGATCGCGCGACACTTGGTTCGGCACTCCCGACGCACATTTACACATACGCTCTTAACCTTTAACGCGTACAAGATACGTCGCGACATTTTCGCATCCGATTACGTTTTATCGCTTATTTCAATTAATAATATGTAAAACGGATCGCGATACACTTTACTCGACACTCCCGACTCCCGACACTTTGGAACATCGTCACGGATCATGAAGACCGAGAAATACGCACATCGATTTATACAACGCGATGCCCGCATTTTGAGCTTACAACTGCACGATGTTTCACTCGACACTCCAGTACTGTAATAAATATTAAGATAATAAAAAAGTTGTGTGTGTATGTGTAATATTAAATTCTCACAAAAAAGAATTTAAAAAATCTTATTTATAAATATCTATTTTTATAAACTTATCAAAAAGATATATTCTCTTTTATTATATATTAAATATATATATTTAGCAACTTTTAATAATATTAAAGATTTCTATATACGTATATGCACATATACAATATTATATATTCTCTGTATATATCTAATTTACATTTACTAATCTCTACCGCGCGCGCTGGCAGACTTAAAAACTATTATGTGCTGTCATCTAATGATGTATTATTCGAATTGTATGTTGCATGCAATCAATAATTTTAACATGTCGGTATTGTATAATCGTTGCAACTTTAACACACGATGATTCTTACCGATATATGGTACTATCGAATATATTTTTGCGTATATTATCCCGTTGACTAATGATGGTACCATACTTATCGACACATACTGTGGCACAATCGTAAAAATGGTAGAAAGCAAGAAATGAATATATTGAGAAATAAATTTAAAATATTAATAAAATTTATAAATTCTTAAAATTCAACTATAATTGTTTTTATGCAAATTTCCAAATATAAATATATCCTTTAAAAGATTGCGCTTAATGCGCAATATATATATTCGCGCAAATGATGTTATTGAGCCATATACAAAAATTTAATGTATTAATTCAACGAAGCGAGTTTGTAAAAAAAAAACATTTATATAAATTAATATTATGCAAAATTATATATACTGTACGAATCATAACAATATAGACGCGTCTTTATATCACAAAAGTATATTCCTATTATTAATTTATTCTCTCTTTCTCTTTTCCTCGACCGTTTCTTTTTCAAATTTAGCAAAGGATCGCCATGATACAAGTAACGATGCACAAGTCATGCAAAATATGCGGTTGAAATAAAACTCACCGACAACATATGTTGCTACGAGCTGTATTCTCCGGACAGGACATCGCAATTTAATCGCGCTTTATGACATTCGTAAAACTAATATCGCGTTTCTTTTCTAAATATCGAAAACGAATTAATTTACACTCGCGAACCGACGAAGCTTCCACACTCTTCTTTGACCCGAGAAGAATTGCCGTTGCTCTGGTGTCGAGATTCAAAATACGGCGTACGGCGCGAAATTCACGCATCACGTGACCCGAGTTGCGCAATGCGTCATCGTTACGTCACACTCCAATGAAGGTTATATGCCATTGTAGGTGTGCAGCGCGGGCTAACCTATACTCCTCGAACGATGTCAATTTAAAGGGCGACGATCTTGCAAAAGTAACATGTCAACGTACGAATGCATTTATCCGATTGACAGACATTGACACACGTTATCGCGAAAATGTTCGCCGATCCGTTGTCGCAATTCGCAGCACAAACTTGATATCTATTTTGAGTGGTTAACGCGATGCGTTAATCGTTTATTTATAACATCGCTGTGCCGCTTTTCCAGTTGTCGTTTACGAAGTCTACGTATTGTCGCATTTTAAAATGCGTTAAATTTTATTATTGAGATTTCTTTTTCTTTTGTCGTGGACAAATTATGGACGAGGTTTACTTTCACTTTTCGAATCAGCTCGAAACATTACAGGTAATTGGTTTTTTCTTCCGTATAAATATCCGCATTTGCTCCCATAATCGCGCGTGTATGATTTATATAATATTTTTATAATATGTATGTGTGTGTATGTAGTAAAATTCTTTTGTTAGAATTTAAGTATTTTGTCAAATAATTACATCAATTGTTATCTGTTGTTTTCAAATTATATGTTACATTCATTATATTGTTTTTTTATTTGTAATTTGTACAAAAATTTTATGATTTTCTATTCTATATAGAGAAATAATGTATATTGTAAATAATGTATAATTATATGTATATATATTCCATATTTTTTCTTTTTTTTAAAAAAAGGAAATATTTTAATATTATATAAAATTTTGCTACTTTTAACTTAATATATATATGTGCAAATTATTTTGCATCAAATATAATTATTCATAGAAATCTCAATATACTACAAAAAAAAAATTTGGGGGAAGGTTCAAGCATCCGTAGCAGTTCAACAGGCACAGCAATCGTGTATGACATGGCTAGCTCAGTTGCATCAGTTTATCCTGCAGCTTTGTGACGAGCAATACACGCAGCATGCCAAAGACATTGTGCTACGTATGGCTACTTCTGTACAAAGAGGCTGGCAAGAAATCCAATTTCAATATTACAATGCTCAATGGAATACAGTAGATTTTTATCGCCAATTAGGAACCATGTGGGCTAATAAAGGTAAGTTGAATATTAAAAATATTTTTGACAAACTATATTTCTCTGTGTGCTACACTTCGAAAATTAACTATTATAGATTTGTTTATGTTCTATTCAGTATCAAGAAGAGAAGCAATATATTGCTTAACAGGCATAGCAATTGGAACTGTAATAGGCTATTATATTGGTGTCAATTGGAAATCCTCTTCTTATCACATGCATCATATAAAAGCTATAGCTTGCCATCATTATTATGGTATCGAGGTATATCATACCTATATATCTAATTACAATTTTTTGATGTAATAATAATTTTTCTTGATTTGTCACACAGGGTGTGTTCATGATAGATGATATGGAAATGCCAACAATAAAAAAATCGAACGACTTATTAATACAAGTTAAAGCCGCTTCACTTAATGTTATCGATACAAAGATATGTTCTGGTTACTCTAGGATTTATAGAAGATTGCTTAATTCAGGGGTATGTATAAACCTTTTTAAAAATGTATTGATATCTTGCAACATAATATTGTTATAATGCACGAATATGCATATGTATTATTTCGAAACAGAAAGAACTACCTGTAACTTTAGGAAGAGATTGCGCAGGAGTGATAGTTGACATTGGACAGGGCGTTACCAACTTTGATATTGGAGATGAAGTATTCTTAGCTGTACCATCGTGGGCTTCTGGCACGATGGCGGAATATATAATCGTTCCAGAAACGCAAGTAGCAAGACGGCCTAAATCTTGTAGCTTCGAAGCATCTGCCAGCTTACCATACAATGGTTGCTTGGCATGGGATGCTCTAGTTAATAGATCTGTTATTAAAGAAGGCAATGCCAAAGGAAAGAGGTAATGCTCTTTACTACTGTTTCCAATCTTTTAAACTCTTGTGCCCATAATGTCAATAATATTATTATTACAGAGTTCTCATTTATGGTGGAAGCACTCCAATCGGTTGTATTTTAACGCAATTGATTAAGTTATGGGGCGGATATGTAGTGACCACATGCAGAATAGATGCATATCTATTCCTAGAACCTGTAATGAAAGCGTTAGGTGCCGATGAAGTTATAATAGTAAACGAAACCGATATTGAGAAAGAATTACAATTGCATGATAAGTATGTAGAATTAAATACTTATTTATTATATATATATATATATATAAACTTATATAGTGAAATGATCGAAATAACATATAGCAGCGTTTTTCAATTATGGTGTACTTCTTTCATTACAGATACGATGCAATTTTTTATACCGATAATCAACCCTTTCAAGAACATATTTTAAAGAGATTCTTACTGCCACATGGTTCCTATGTATCTACTGTTCCCGAACAATTAAGATCGGATTCGTTGGGATTTATTTGTGGAAGTATATTTGCTGGATGTGTTAGGGTAAAATTATTAGTTCAGGTATGTTTCAGTTAAGACGTTCGCGATGTTGAAACCGGATTGTATTACTGACTGATACTTTATATTATAGTACATGTTCGGATTCAACATGCATCAGTGGAAGGAGGGCGCAAAATTAAATGTTGCATATTTACGAGCTTTATGCGAGTTGACTGATGCGAATCAATTGCAAACAGTTGTAGATAAAGTGTATGCACCATACAATATTGAGCGAGCATTGCTCCATGTTTTAGACCCAAATTCTATCGGTAGTACGATTATTACGTTTCAGTGACATTTCATTGGCATCAGAAAAAAAATTTATTCCATGATTACCTCTTTTGTATATATAAGTATATAATTTTGGTGTATAAACCATCAAACATTATTAATGGACATTTACATTATTGCAAGTTGAAAATGGTAGTCATAAAACTTGGTGCTAAAATAAAGACTGACAACATAATACAATTAATAAACCAGAATATAAAATGTTAATATATACTTTACATTTTTCTAAATTCTTCCTAAATCAAGTTATGTCAACGAAAAAGAGAAAATATGTAATAAATAATTGCATGTGGAAATTTAAATAATGTTTGTAAAAATTTTTATAGAAACATATGCGAAAAATTATTATTAAATGTTTAACGTATTGGAGTTTATAATATGTAAGGATATATATTATTGTATATGAATATTGTACTTGATATATTTTACGAAATAAATAAAAAAATGATCCTGCTATTATGTTATCAACTAAAATTATACAATTTGTTTAGAAATTTAGAAAAATAAATGTGAACCATGTGTCATAGCAGAATAAAAATTCGAAATGTCTTATAAATAATACATAAATATGCAATTTTAACGTTGTACCTGTTCGTGAAGTTTATAGTATTACTCTCATTTTGCTTTCCCGCGGAACTTACTGTTACCTGCTGCTTTTGCCTTTTTAGCCGGTAGCTTTTTTTCTTCTATCTATAATAATATACAAAGAAAATATTTCATTTAAATATTCATGTAAATTAAAATACGAGTATTAATTAGATGGAAATTAAATATATTCGTTTAAACAATATTTCACCTTTCGCTTTGGTGTCGGGGTACTCGGTAAAACTTTGAAGAATGAATCCAGTCTGCCTTGTGTGGATGTATTTCGAGCTTTGTGAAGTTTCTTAGCTCCATTTCTGATACGTTCCTCGTTAAATTGCTTATCACCGCATAAAAACTTTACCAGACCTTCTTCATCTGGTTCAGACCATTTTAACTAGCAAAATAAATTATATTTAATATGTATGGTTTAAACAGAGAAAAGAAATTTATTTTATAAAATTATTATTAAAAATTACTTGGATATCTTCTGTATTCATTACTTCGGGTTCTTGAAATAATAGTCTTGCATCTTTGTAATTCCAATTTTCTGGCACAGAGTATTTTTTAGTATCTATATTTTCAATAATTTTGTCAAGAGACCTATAATTTTTTATCAACTCTATTGCCCTTTTTGGACCAACGCCTTTAATACTCCCAGTATAATCACAACCCAACATAATACAGAGATCAATAAACTGTAAATTATATTATTTCAGAATAGTTGATAAATAACATTTATTGTAAAATAAAAACAAAAAAAGACACATACCTCATCATGATTCAACTCTAAATCTGTAAGAACCTTATCCAAATGAATCTCTTGTACAGGTAATTTTCTGGCTTCGCTGAGAGTTAAACGTCGAAGTAGCACATTGCAGCCAAAGGTGAGTGCATCCATATCTTCTGTAGCAGTGGCAAAGACTTTACCAGCTTTCACTAAAGCAGCACATTGTGCTTCAGCCTCGCAAGGAGCCTATATAGAAAATATCTGTTAGTAAGAAGATACTACATATGCTTTCATACAAATGCTTACATCAATATAAGGTATGCCCATTAATTGGAGTAATTGTTTAGCTTCCTCAGTATGATTTTTTGTAACTTTAACCAATCTTCTGCTAAATTTGTCTATAGCCTCCACATTTCCTTTAATAAAAGACATCTATTATTAAAATCTTGTACAATTTTTTTTGTAGAATGTAGAGAGTATAAATTATTTTAAAGATAATAATGATAATGAAAAAATATAATATGTTATTACCATCTTCTTCAGCAGCTTGTAAAAGTTTTTGTGCTTCATCTCTCCTCTCAGCCCGTTTAGCTAATTCTCCGCTTTTTAAGTTTGGTGGTTTTCCATCAAATACATATACAGGTTTTATCCCTTGCTCTACTAAACGTATGGTCCGATAAAATGTGCCCATTAAATGGCTATATAACAAAATTTATTACTAATTAGTCTTTCTTTATAATTTATTTTATAAAAACTTAATATTACCTATAATATTATAGATAAGAAGTATATACCTGGTTGTTTCACCATCTACAGTAGTGAGCTGAGCTCCTTCGCTGCGCACAGCTATGAGAAATTGATATAAACACATCGAGGCATCAACAGCTATTTTACGACCTGAAACATAAAGCCAAAGATTAGTAATATAATATGAACATTAATAATAAAACACGACTAATTCAGAATATGAAATACATATTATAAACATTGTTTATGGAATTTAAAAACTTGTTAATTTTTTTTGGTTAAATATGAAACCTCAAATACACACAAAACACACAGAGATAACAATTACGTACCAAAATAATGCTTCAATTCTCGCTCTTTGATAGCTCCCGGAGCTATGTCTGCTATGAGTTTCGATAAGCCTAAAATACCCATATTGGCGAAATACTTATCACACGTAAGAAAAATTAACAAGTCGTTATATGGCCGACATTTTCTAACAGGCAAACACGTTTCTGACGTTTCCCGCCAATTTGTCTAATAGTGTTTTACTGTCATCTATATAAGAGGAAGAGAACTAATTTGTTTCGGCGAGTAGAAGGTTTTGCTGATAAGTACTAGGCCCGGAGATAATAGAAGATCGATGACATTACCGGCCGTTGATGACATATCCAGCTATATATTTTGTTTTATTATTGAAAATGTACAGATCTTTTATGTAAATATCTCAAGAACAAAAGAAAGATTTTATTGTACCAAAAATTACTATTTTTTATTACTAACAATACAAAGATTTACTTATCTAATATAGCGCGTAGCGAGTTTTTTCCGGTCATGCTAAATCCCATAAGATTAGTTGCTTTCCATTTGCACTCAAGTGATACTGAGTCACTCAGTTATGTGAGTATTTCATACTCAGATAATGACGTCATTGTTCAGTGAGTAAAAGGAACGCGCAAGTGAGAAAATATTCTCAATAACCTTAAATGAGAGTTTTAGTTTTTAACTAGAGAGAGTTTTTAACATAAGACGCCATAAGATGCTAAGACTGCAAGACGATATGACTTCTTTTATTGTTTCAAATATTATGGAGGTAAGTTGATACATGCTAATTGTTTGTCACTTAAATATACATTAAATATTATGCTATTAGATTTCAGAAGACGATTCGGAATTGGATTGGACTAGTTCAGATTCAAATGAATCCAAAATTTTTTCCTGTTCTGAATCGTCATCCTCGGACTGTTCCGTCTTATCTAATCCTCCCAGAAGGATGTTACACCAAATAACTACTTTTATGGACACTATAAAAGAATACGATGATCAAGAATTTAAAGAACATTTTTGATTAAATCGTTCAACTATTGACATAATAATAAGTAAGTATGATCATCCACTGATAAATAAACTGAACTGCAATGTTTAACTTGCATAAATTTCAGATGAGATTGAAATTGGACATGTGTTATCTCAACATAAATTTGGAAGGAAAAAAATATGTACACGAAAAGCAGTTTTAATGACTGTGTGGTATCTTTGTAATATAGAGACGTTTCAACAATGCTCTGACAGGTTCAATGTTACTAAAAGTACCTGTCATTGTATCATCACAAAAATAATAGAATTTTTAGTAAGAAAAAGTGGACAGTATATTGTATGGCCCACTGATCAACAACTGCAAAAAATAAAATCTGAATTTTATAAAATGCATGGGATTAACGGGGTAGTTGGAGCTATAGATGGGAGCCATATCAAAATTAAAAGGCCAGCCTCCAAACATCACTATGTATATTATAATAGAAAAGGAGATTATAGTCTTCTTATACAAGGAGTTTGTGATTACAAGAAAAAATTTATTAGTTTTTTCTGTGGAGAACCAGTATCCATCCATGACAGTCGCCTTTTAAAAAAGTCGTCTCTGTACAGGAAAGGTATAGATGGATTCTTGGGTCTAAATGTCTTATTGGGAGATTCAGCATACCCCTGTTTGGATTGGTTGATCTGTCCATTTAAAGACAATGGCAATCTAACTGAAAATCAAAAAATATTCAATTACCGCCATTCCGCAACTAGAATTGTAATTGAAAATGCTTTTGGGCTTTTGAAGGGAAGATTTAGGAGACTAAAATATTTTGGAAATGATAATTTAAAGTTTGTAGAAAAATGCATAGTAGCTGCTGCTGTGCTACATAATATTTGTTTGGACAATCAGGATGATGATGAATTTGATGTCGATGTCAATGATAATAATGATGAGAATATGACAGATGTAGCAGGAATTAGTGGCATAAATGAAAAGAATTCTAGAAGAGACGAAATTTTTGCAACAATGTTTATTTAGATATGTATATTTAAGAAAATTTGACAATAAATAAAAATTTTATTTTAACATAACTAACGGTTTTATTATAATAATAAACAAGAAACATAAACATAAATCTCCTTTAGTCTTTCTTTTCAGACATTTTATACAAAAACAAAACAAAAATAAATTAAATAAACACAATACTATAGCACTCTGCGTATGCTATTACTAGAGTAAAATATTTTTTGATTACTAAAAGTTTCTAGTACGAACTCAAAAATAATGTGAGAACTTGACTGAGGGTCAACCTTCGATTGAACGTTTGTAGTACTGATTATTAGTATTTTATGTATTTTTTTTCTTTCAAAATCTTCTGTAAGTCTTCTAATGCCTTTATTTTCTTCTTTTCCATTTCCAGTTTTTCTTTATATAGATCTAGCTTTTCTTTTTTGTATTTCAAGCTTTCTTCAACATAAAGTTTTCTGCTGATTTCTTTTTCTTTGATTTTCTCCATTTTTTCTTCAAAAAATTTCTTTTTTACTTTTACTAGTTCCATTGATGGATTTTTTCTTTTTTGCATACAAGATGAATCATTGGAACAAGAAGGTCTTTCTGAGCTGGTGTCAGAATCGAAATTCAGTGTTGGTTCGACTTGCGATTGCAATTCGTTAACATCTAATGAATGTGGGCTTGCACTCGATGGTGAATCGCCCAATAACTCATCCAATCTATTGTAAAAAGTGAATTTCACAGGACCTCTTCCCGTTTTAGATTGTACATCCTTTGTATTTTTATAGGTAAGCACTAAATTTTGCCACTTTTTTTTGCATGCCAATTCGGAAACCTAAAAATTAAAGGAAATATTTTAGGGTCATTATGTTAAACATGAAATAAATATAATTCAGACACTGACAAAGCAATCGTTTGAAAGAGCAAAAACAATAAAACAAAATTTAATTGCTTTTTTATTATTAACATTAATTATATAAATAATTTCACTTACTTCAATATTTTGACTACCAAGTTCTTCACTAATAACCGACCAAAAATTTTTTCTTTTATGTACATGATGCATATCATCATAACGTGCTTCTACAGCTCCTATTAAAGCACGAGTTTTATTTACAGACCAGGTATTTCTTTTTTCTTTTGTCTTCGTAGCGTCTACATTTTCAACTTCGATCACACTACTTGTTCCTTCAGACTGGAATGAATTTTCATAGAAATTTTCAATTTCGCTTATAATTGTTTCTTTAAACTCGTGGCTTATGTCAATAATTTTTATAGTTCTTTTAATGTTGTTATCACTTCCTTGATTTTTAAACACTCTGTATATATATATATATATATATATATATATATATATATATATATATATATATATATAGCTCTATTTAGAAAACAATACTTACATTTTGTATTGTTTCTCTTCGATGGAATTTTCGATTTGAAACGTATAGTTGCAGGATCATGTACGCACATGTACGTATGGCATAGACATAGTATATTTAGACCGAGTGTTGAGGAGTGGGAGCCGAGGTGCACGTAGAAAAGGACATACTCTGTTTCGTGCCCCTTGCGTTCTTTCTCGCTCGCACAGAGCATAGCGCTCTCTTTCGTCATGCTACGTGCGAGCGAGAGAGAACGCAGGGGCACGAAACAGAGTATGTCCTTTTCTACGTGGGCATCGGCCCCCACTTCTTAAATAAAGGCAAACGCTCGGTCTAGATATACTATGTCTATGGTTGAATCTCACTTGCTAGCATCAAAAGGAACGTGCATTCAACTGAGTTATGACGTCACAAGTGAGAATTATCTGAGTTTTGATGTAAATGGAAAGCAACTATTATCTTTATAGGATATGTTACGCTTTTAGCGCTATCAGCGTGCTCTGTCCTTGTTCAACTTTCAGTAATTAACAAAGATAAAACGACGCTTTTAGCGTATAAGCGTGCTTCCCGAATGCAGCCATAATGATATTTCGTCGGTGTTTACAGCTTATTCTAGACGAGGCTTTTGTGCTGAATAGCTATACTCATAGACTGAAAGCACTTTAAAAAAAAAAAATATCATTTGGAATCAATTGATTTGAAGCTTGGTTCTTGAAATATTGGTTGCATAGTTTCTATATTATTTATTTTTATAATATATATAGAAGTCTATGATGCATTGTCTTTTATCTAACAAAAGAAAAATTGGGTAATTATAATAATCCAGCGTTTCAATATATGCAAATTATTATTTCGCGATTTCTCTTCCCTTTTTTTTTATCTTCATCATCAATAAAATATTATGAATGTGAAGAATACTCATTTAAAGTGGCAGAACGAGAAAAAAATGTTTCACAATGAATAAAAAAAAAAAGATGTTTTCTTAATAAGAATTAATACACACGCATTCACATATTGAAATTAAAAGAAGGTATCAGTTAAACATTTACAAGTATATTCTGCTATTTACATATACAAATTTGTCATGTATTTTAAGTAACATGCTCTTATATCGCATACTGTTAGTTTCAAGAATAAAAGCTGTCATTATGGTCTTGACGCAATTTAAGACAGTGCGCGCGACGTTCTATAAATGCGGCCATTCTAGTAGACAGTATGGTAGCGCCAGTCGATATCTGATAAAAGAAAGAACACCTTTTTATTATAAAATTCTTTGTAGATTTTTGAAAAATGTTTGTAAATTATTATTTGAGTGAATATCTATCCTCAAAAGTTTCAAGCTCATAAATTTATTACCTTCAACCACGGCGAACCAAGACAAAACTCTGCATTCGCTCGGTCCTCGCCACGCAAACGCAATAATCTTCCGAGGAGCTCTTTCGCATCGCTGGATATCGTCTCGAAATATTCGTCGGGAAAACAGAAATCGCACTTGAGTATATTGGCGGTGGTCTCTTCCACAGAATCATCCAGAAAAGGTGACAAACCACTAGCATTTTCATAACATATGGAGATATAATAAAAAAAAAAAGATTATAAAATATATTTAAGTATTTTTTTTAAGATACCTTAGCAGAACGTAAATAAAAACTCCGACGGCCCACATGTCGGTGTAAGGACCGGTCGGTCTACCTAGCACCGATTCTGGCGCGGCAAATTCCAAATCAGAGGGAGGCGGTACAACTTCATCGATCGGAGTCCTCACCGCTTCCCCCAGATCTATCACCTTCACCTGATCCGTCTCCTGATCGACGAGAACATTTTCCGGTTTCACGTCCAAATGCATTCGGCTGCGACAGTGTAACCAGCACAGCGCGGATAACAGCTGACCAGTGTATCGCGTCGCTGTCGCTTCGGTGTACTCAGTTTTCTCACTCAGATATGCAAATAACGTCGGGCCCTTGACCCTGCGAAGAAGAGGAAAAAGGGCTATTTTGGAACGGCACATTATTGAGAGAAATGTCTCGCGAATAAAACTTACAGTTCCAGAACAATAGTGTCTATGCCGGGTCGAGGCGCGTTCTCAAATAGGGCGAACGCTCTGATGATGTTGACATGATGAGTGGAGGCTAGCATATCATATTCCGCCCGCGTCAGCAATCTTGACTGTTTGTGACGCGGAATCTGCTTGAGAGCCACTTCTTGACCGGTGCCCTTGTCTCTGGCGCGACGAACTATGCCGAATCTACCGTTACCCAGCTCGTCCAGTTCCAAATATCTACAGACAAATTGCTTCGATTCCCATTCAGCCCCGCTGTCTGTGTCTAATCTTGATAACGTCACCACGATCGACGGCGAGGTTGTGCTTCCATCATCGCCCATCACACGAAAGCTGTACGAAGCATCCGGTGACACATCCAGCACAGCGGGCGGTTCATTAACCTGCTTCAACACCGGCACCCATCGTTGTAACGGTAAAGTTCGACATTCTATGCTACATGACGCGCTACCGATCTCTTGTTTGTCCCAATCAACTTCCACTTTCGAGGATCCTAACGCGCGTGCCAAAGTGCTGCTTTTTCCGCCTGAGAGAAAACATGAAACTATTTAATAATATATTATGATTATATTACATAATACGCGCATTATATGCGCTCAACTGCTATGTACCTATGACAGACAGAGAAATCCTCGCAGAGCAGGAGCCCGTTTCGCATTTGATATGACAATGATATACGCCAGAGTCCGAAGCCCGGCAACCGGTGATTTGCAAATATACAAAGCCCATGCTCTGTTGAAACTGGTATCGATCGTTCTCTTTTATACATTGATCCTCGCCTTCCTTTTTCCAGGTGACGGTCGCATGATTGTTGCGGTCCGCATTGTGCGTCTCGACAGAGAGTCTAACAATTTCTCCGGCGGTCGCGCGAATCGACATCGGGCTGCTCAGGATAGCCGGCGTCTTTTCCTCGGGCGTCATCATTGACTCATCGGCAGCATGATCGCTTTTCGTAAAATCGACCATCTTTCGCGGTCGAAATGACCACGCTCGACTGATTGCAGAGTTCGAAATAAGACTCGCTGGAATCCATAGCTCATTCTTGGTATTAATTGGGGATACCACTAGACCTGGACCATCGAGATGAGAAACGATCAACTCGTCTCCGGCATGTAACTTTCCCCAATCCGCAGCTAATCTTACACGAGCACCTGGAACGACCTAAAGGAATCTTCTTATTATACATATTTAACACGTGCATCAAACATTACACGTATTTTTTTCATGCAACTTGCGTCGCGTCTGCCCCGCAATTTTGTATTCACCCAGAGAATGTGCGACAAAAAGACCCAGGAAGAACTTCCAGCACTGTGCAATGCATCGACAGTAGCAGCAATAATAGTAGCAGTCGTACATGTTCCGGTAGAGGAAGAAATAACGGCGGTAGCAATGACATCGGTTTTGACAGATGGTCGGTGGTAATGTAGTACAGCAGAGCAATAGCAGTTACTGAGGCGGTATTCATTGCGACGTTTCGGCGAAGTGCTAGCGATAATGTTTGTATAGCGACGACGATCGTAAAAACAATAGTATATTATATGTAAAGTGAATAAGAAAATGTGTTAGTTGGAGAAGCAGTAACAAAGCTTGTAGAATCAAAACTTTACAGTAAGACAATAGCTTTTCTCATTTTTCTATGTGGTTATTCTTCCTAGAGATATGTATGTATTTTTTTTCTCGCGCGACATATATGTCCGTCTAAGATCCATCTTGTTACATCAGGAGGTACGACGTATGGCATTCGTGAACATTACGATCTTTTATAGTCTCGATATAGTTTTTTCTTTAATAACAAAAATATGACTTATCGCACCGACAGAAGATAATGCAATAGATAGCAGTAGATAGCGACAGGCATCAAGAGGAAGAAGAGGAAGGAGAGCCCCTTTGCTGCAATCATCAAGAATTCTAAATTGATATAAGTGATAACGTATGTATAAGCTCCAAAGAGCTCCAAGTGGCAAAGACCACAATCAGGAATGGCTCACCGGAATGGAGTTGTTGCGACCCGGCGAGCGTGTGCGTAAAGTATTCTTAAATCCTTCCAAGAAGTTTAGCCTACTCTTTGTCGGGCTGGGTGTACGTGGTTGCGCGTGATCCAATCCTCCGGTATAAGAGCGCTGCAACGTTGGCTGTTGATTCGTCCTTACTCGATCGTTACTCTTGTCTCGATTCGTCGACCCGGGGACTATCAGCGTCGGAGGAACCGATACGGTTGCTCGAATCACAGGTTCTGACGTGGTAGTGGTGGTGGTGGTGGTGGTTGCAGCACGGCTACACGCCAGCAAATCATAAATGAAATCCAAGACACAGTACTACGCGTCGAGACTCGCGCACTTTGATACTCGCCAATTAAATGGTAAAACGCATCTTTGTCTTGTCAAATGATTCGTAGTATTAAAATTTTACAGCGATCGGAAGGAACGAGTCTCGGCATAAGCCAGGATACGAAGGAATCGATGTCGTCGGCAACTTGAATCTTTTACACGAACGTGTCGGAGAATAGATAAGGTGGGTGCTTAATAGCGACGCGTAGCAATAAGGTGGGTAGTGGTGGGTGAGTGGTTGGTTGTGATCACGGTAGATACATACTTAAGATACTGGACTTAAGCTTTTCGCAGTACTGTGTTCTTGATAAAATTATAAAGAAAACAAGCTCTGGTTAGTCGAGTGGGCGTGTATATTAGATAGTAGGGTAAGGGATATATCCACATCACAATCACTCTATCTCTCAATCATTAATTTACAATTTTTATTCTAGACAAAATTCTTATGATTCGCGGGTCAATTATATAGCTTTGCTTTCGACTAATCTCCAATCGTATCGAGCACAATTAATATATACACAGCATACTGTCACGACGCCATAGTTTGTTCACAGACTCGCGAGCGCGCGCTTGCTTTTGTAAACGTTATTAAAATTATTATAAATATATTGCGTATCTTCATATATTATTATATGACGTTATTAATACATCGCACTCGCAGCGCGTGTTTTTTCTGTTTCATATCGTTACAAGTCGCATGTGTGTAGATGTAAATGTATACGTAACAACAAAATACGCCCCCATTTGTGTGCGTGTATACAATATACGCGTAAAATGCATGCGCATTGGAACGGACCTCGGCACACATTTTATAGGCTCTGATAGACTCGGATAGTCAAGTCTAGAGGAATAGTACACGTTAAGGAACAGGTGAGTAGATTTTGATCCATTAAACGATAAAAAGAGTTTGCCAACTCTCGCATGCTCGCGGCGATCTAAAACACTAAAGTATATATATTATATAAATATATATATACTTCCGTGTGTATGTGTATATA